AACCTTTGGCATTTTAATTACAATGTGTCTTGCTGTGGGCCTCTTTGGCTTCATCTCTTTGGGGACTCTCTGAGCTTCCTGGGGTTGTATGTCTATTTCCTTCACCAGGTGAAGAAAGTTTTCTATCATTATTTCTTCAAAGAGCTCCTCAATGTCTTATTTTTCTTCAGATACTCCTATGACACAGATATTTTTACATTTAATAGTGTCCCATAGCTCTTTAAATTATTATTATAGCCTTGGCTTACTTTTTTCTTGCCATTCTGATTGAGTGTCCTTGCTTTCCCAACCTCTATATAGGTCATTTGATCCTCTTCTTTATCCATTCCGTTTATTTCATCTAATATACTCTTCATCTCAGATAATGTGTTCTTCATTTCTGACTGGTTCCCTTTTATAATTTCCATTTCCATATTTCTATTTTCATGTCTTTGCTAAATTTCTCACTGACTTCATCTACACTTCCCCTAAATTAATTGAGCATCTTTATAACCAGTGTTTTGAACTCTGCATCTGTGAGATTGCTTGATTCCATTATTCTGAGATCTCTGTTCTATTCTCATATGATTTCTGCTCCTTTGTTTTCCCATTTTGTCTGTCTTTCTGTGTCTCTTTCTATGTATCAAGCAAAGCTCCTAAGTCTGTCGGTCTTATTAGTATGGCTTTGTGTAGCAGGTGTCTAGTGGCACAGTGCTGAGAGGGGTTCAGCTGCAGATCAAGTTTAGCCCCAGCCTGTGCCCCCTCTGAGGCTACCTGTTAAGATTCAGCAAGCAATCCACAGATGCTGTGCTTATAGTTGCCTCAAAAAACCAAACCAAAAAACGAGGCCCGGTGCCACCAGTGTGGAACGTGGAGCTGCTCAGCAAGGAGCACCTGACTCGCTGAGAATATACCTGGATATGACTTGGGTGGGGCTGCAAGTTCAGGGAGGCAGAGTTTTAGGAAATCCTCTGGGCTGAGCGACCTCTGTTATCTAATTTGATGATGTCTCAGCTATGGCGGCCCTGCGTCAGCACACTAGAAGTGGGTAGACTCAACAGAGGAACAATGGATACCAACAGCACTTCTTTCCAGGAGAGATCCTCACCTCCGGCCCTCGCTCCGACAACTCACTGTCCCCCTGTAAGTCCTTGGTGCCCTCCGCACAGCTGAACTGGTGCTGGTACTCAGAGCGAGCAGGTCCGTCACTCTGAAAGTCCACTCATGGACACAGCCCCTTTAAGAGGCATCTGCAGCTCCTGGCTGCCGCTGCCACAGCCTCTGTCACACTCAGCAGTTTGGGACCAGGAAGCTCTGTGTCTTTGCCCCCTCCTACCTTCTCCCGTTGCAGGGTGATTAATTATTTCTCTCCCTAGTTTTAGTGCTTTTCTTCATCTAGATCTCAGGTGATTTTCCTTGCTGTTTGCTTTGTGTCTCTGTCACAACTTTATATTGGTTGCAACAGGGATAAACAAAGCCTTTATCTATGTCATTTTTCCCTCATACTATTTCTTTACTAATTCCCTTAATGTCCATAGGATCTGTAGTGATATCTTGCTTTCATTTCTGATATTAGTAATTTGTGTCCTCTCTCTTTTTTCTTAATTAGCATGGATAGAGTCAAATAAATTTTATTGATCTTTTCAAAGAACCAGTTTTTGGCTTCATTGATTTTTATCTCTTAATTTCCTATTTTCAATTTTATTGATTTCTCTTCTAATTATTATCTAATTATCTAATTTTTCTTTTGTTACTTTGGATTTAATTTGCTCTCTTTTTAGTAGCTTTAAGGTGGAAACATAGATTATTGATTTTAGATTTGTTTTCTAATCATTCAATGCTATAAATTTCCTTCTAAGAGACTGCTTTTATTGCATCCTTATTAAAACAACTTTTAATAAGCAGTTTTTTTCATTTTAATTTAGTTCAAAATATTATTTTAAATTTTTCCTGAGAGTTCTTCTTTGATCCATGTGCTATTTAGAAGTGTGTTGTTTAATTTCCATGTATTTGGGGATTTTATACTTATGTTATTGATTTCTAGTTTAAATTCCTTGTGATCCTAGAGCAGACATTGTATAATTTCTTTTCTTTTAAATTTGGTAAGGTACATTTTATGGCTCAGAATGAGGTCTATCTTGGTGAGTGTTCTGTGTGAGTTTAAGAAGAGTGTTCATGTGTAACCTGCTGTTGTTGCATGAAGAATTTTTAAAGCATCATCTACAATCTCCAGTTTTTGTTTTTTTTAAAGTGAAGCCAAAACAAAGATGTTTATAAAGTAAGATAAGTGCAGAATTCTATGTTTTTAGATTTCTTAGTTAATCTGTTAAAATAACCTTTAAAAAATAATCTTTTAAAATAACCTTTCTTTATTGAGTCTTTTGGAAGTATTTCAACTTTGTTTTCCACATTCATAATCCATTGCTTTATACAGTATCAAATTAAATTGTATATTTATAATTGAAGTGTAACTGGAATAAACAGGTTTAAGAATAAACTTAGACAATTCTTAATGAACTCATAATTTTTCTGAGCAGAATTGCATAGACTTACTAAGAAAAAGCCTAGTATTTACGAGTACTCACTTTTCAATGAGCATCAGTCATAATATCTTTCAGGAGGAATAACCCAGCAAGTCAATTAAGTAGAGGTATGTTAAAAGAGTTCTTACTATACACAATAATATTAATATTCTTTATTATTTATATTATTTATTATTATAAAATTATTTATACCATACAGTATATTATCACATGCATTACTAGACACACAAATATATCACTCTTGGCAAATACTTTTTTCAAACGTTTACTAAATGTAAAATGATATTCAAACCAAATTATAAATGTCTATAGTTATTTCTTATTCTCTTTGCTTCACTTTAATCTTATTAGAATTGGGGTATCTTTAAAACTTTGATCTTTCTCCAAACAGTTTACAAGGAAACAAGAAGAATCGAAATGGCAAAAGGAAAAAAAAGTGATAGTATAATAACAATTAATATATGTAAAAGAAATTATGTATTTAATTTCTAAAAATCAGGAAAGGTTTCATGAAAGATAAATGAGCTCTCTATACTACACTTTGAATAAAATAATGGTCATTTATGATTTCAATAACTAGGGGAAAGTTGAGAAGGAATGGCAGTTTCTCAGGGGTGAATGTTATAAACAGAATATAGGAAAATATAGAGTGTATTTTAAAACATAAGGTATGCAGGGCAAAGAAGAAAGGAAACTGAGAGGGATGGTTTGGAATCAGGCTGTAGAGCACAGCTCCAACAGCCTAGGAGGGAAATTGTAAGAGCCCAAAAGTTCCATTCTAGAAAGACAGCTGAGTAACTCCAGAAACTACTGGCATAAATGTTATCAGGTTTAGATTTTCTGAATCAAACTGAAAAAGATTTATCTTTTCTCAAGCTGGTGATTTTAAGTTCCTGAAACCAGAGCCTCAAAGACAAACAGAATCATTAGGAAGATGGGCCACCCATTGCAAAGGTGTGAAGCCTCTAGCCAGGCCATTTATTCTAGTCATGTTTTCAGGCATAAGACAATTGTTTGTGATGAAAGTTTGGGATTCCACAACAGTGTAATACAATATAGATAGTGTTGTTAAGAAAAGTTTGTTTTTATAGCGATCAAGCTTTCCAATAATTAAAGGAGTGATCAAATGGTAGTATTTGGAGTTACTTTTGGTATAATTTCTCAGTGGATTATGTAGATGAAATATCCTTCTTTTCATAGGATATTTTAGAATTTGGTTTACTATAAAATATGAACTCTAAAGTTAATAAACAAGATGGCATTTGGTGCCAAGGATTAAATATTTACCGATAAAATATACAGTGATGAAAAAGATTTCAAATAGATGATAAATGATATGGTCAAAGTTCTATATTAAATATAATTTTTACTCGAGAAAAAATAAAACTTAGACCAAGGGAAAAAGTTAACTCATTGTTGTGGATCCTGAGGCTGAACTCGTGAAGATCACCAGATATTACTTTTAAAAAAATAAGTAAATGACAGGTTTTATTTAATCTTTGAAATGATTCATTTGTTTCATGAAATAAAGAATATTAATATCCCATACTTCACTCAGCCATGGTTGATTCTTTCTTTCACAGGCCTCTTGCAACTAGCTTTTTCTATTTCATCCATGCTATCTCTCTGTAGTAATCCTATGGCACAATGATTAAGAGAATATGCCCTACAGCTAGTCTGTCTAGGTTCAAATTCTGACTCTGCTAATTCCTATTTGTGCTATTTAACTTCTCTGTTGTTCAATTTACTCACCTACAAAATTAATATATTAATACTACTACATCATAAAATTCTATACAGATTATATTAATAGTAGGACATTGTAGGTATCTATATGGTATATATGTGTGTGTATATAGTGTATGTGTGTGTGTGTGTGTGTGTGTGTGTGTGTGCCAGTCCACTAACACATGGACTTTTTTCAGCTGACTAGGTCAGTTCAAACCAGCATTGTTCAAGGGTCAACTGGCAGTTAGGAATCTACTTTTGCAGAGGGCTGACATAAGTTATATGCAAATGTTGGGCTCAGCCTAGCAGTAGGTTCCCCTAACTCCCATGCTGTTGAATGGTCAACTACATATATGTATATCACTTAGAACACAGCCTAGAAAATAGTAGTTTTCACATTATTGTTTTTCATTTTCCTCTTTAATTGTCAAAATGTCACCCATCTTTTAAAATCTAACTTAATTTTTTTAATGAGCTCTCTTGATCAGGGCAAACGTTCCCTAAATATGTGTAACCTCTTAGGCCTGTACCTCTGTTTTAAAATCTAATCACTTATTTTGCAATGTTTCAATTTTTTAAAATGATTTTCCTAATACATAATTCTCCTAGAGATAGAGACAGGAACTAACTTTTTAAAAAATCTCTTTTAGCTGTATATACCCCTAGAAAAGAATGATATCAATAGTGTGTGCCACAAATTTTTGTGTTTATGGAGACTAGTATTTTTTTTTCTGAAAACTGGAGAAAGCTCCCCATCCTTTAGCTTAGATAGTAAGAGAGGTGAGTATATGTTCCCTATGTGTTAGCTTACAGTTGGTCTGAATAGATCTGCTCTTGACAAACTGTCAGTTAAGATGAACGGATGGACCAACATGAGACCTGAGGGAAAAAATTCCTGCAGAATAAAAGAGAAGAGTTTACCTCTGGAAATGATTTACTACACAAAGTGGAAGCAACTTTTAGAAGATATCTGTTTCACATTATGTGTAAGGCATAGGAAAAAAAAACTATGAAAGAAGAATGCATTGGGATGAAAATCCAACAGGCAAGATGCTGATGAGGAATATAAGTCAAGAGAATCATTATGTTAGAGAAGTGGGGGTGGGAAGAGAGTGGGAGGAGAGAGAGAATGAGAGAAAGAAACAGATACTGTGATACTACTCTGAATTTTAATTCTATTTCCTTTAAACTCCATGTCATAGAGAGAAGCTAAGTGATTTTCTGCCATCTGAGACTTATGTTCTTAATTAGACTCATTTATGTAACAACATTAAGAACATGCAACTGGTGGAGGCAATAGAAAGAAATGAGGAACAGTTGAAGGTCAATGCTTTGCCTGGGTAAACAGAGATAATAAGAATGGCTTAGTGTTATGTTCTCTTCTTTTTCTTTTTCATTATGAAGACAAGAAACCATTTTTAAAAATCTCAGTATCATAAGTCATTATCAAGAACATTTTAGACATGTCCTTGCTTCAGGATAGGTAGGCCTTCTTTTAAGTCATATCCAAAAGATAACTTTCTTTATAGGTCTCCAGAGAGGGAGATTCTGGTTATATAAATAGGTTCTATAAACGGAACTATTCTGCCAATCATATTTCCGGCTGAAATCCTATATTCTGCAAAGAGATTTTCCCAATAAGTTAAAGCAAGATACAGATTTGTAGTCAATATCTCATAAAAATCACTAGAGGGAAAGTTATAAAACCTGAATTTTAGTTCCATCCTTTTCTGTTAATTTCTTCAGCAATTCTGTCCAAACCACCAAACTTCTGGGACTCGGTTTCCAGAGCCTGAAAAGAACAAGCATAAGCCTTATCTCCCAAAATGAAAATGAGAACAACTAATAATTCATCAGCATTTTTAGGCAAAAGTTTTAACAAAGCACATTGGGAGAAATGCCAGCTTAGATGACTGTAGAAGTTTTGATTAAGAGTTTGCCCACATCTTAAATAAACACATAGTGATCCTCCTTACCACCTAGAATAATTTTTCCTTGAATGGAATTATTACTCAATGAAAAGACAAACACTGAAATTTGAAGCAATGTTCTATGCATTGAAATTAAATCATAAGAAATAAACCAAGAAAATGAAGAGGTAGAAGAAGCAACTCCTTGTTGCCTGTTGCTTCTCCTTGGTTCACAAACTCACAATTATTTTATGCTATTTTACAGGTTCTTCTCTCAGCGTGGAGTGAACTTCTTACCATCACATTGCCTCCTAGTAAATTCCTCATCTATCTTCAAATACCTCCTTCTCTATGAAACCAGTTCCAGCTCCCTCATCATTGCCCTTTTGTCATAGCTGGCATCTCTAATTCTATTATAGCTCATCTCAGGAGGCAACAGCACTAGCCTGGAGCCAAAATCCCAGGCTTCAAATTCAGACTTTCCCTCACTTGGGCAGGTTATTTAACCTCATGCCTCATCTTAATTTGGGACACTAATAATTGCTTTCTTGGCACGGTGTGGTGAAGAATAAAAAGACAATCTGTGTCCAAAGCTTTATGCAATGTGTAGGACAAAATACTCAAACAATAAATTGCTTACTTTTGCCACATTTTAAAAATTTCTCTATTTGGATATATTTTGTTTATCTTTGTTTCACAGCACCTAGCATGGCACCTAGTACAACATGGGCACTTAAAATATTTTTTTTCCATTTAACAGATGAATATGTACAGTGTTTTATGCTTTAAAAAGAACTTTCTTTGATGTGGTCTCATTGGTACTTTCCACTAACCCTCAGAGAGTAGCGAGAAAGACCCATAGTTCCTCCTTGGAAGAAATGCCTTTCTCTGTCTCCATATACAACTGCCAATCATGGGACACCTTCTGAGCTCAAAGATGATCACAGGATCAGAGTGGACTAAATAAATTATTTCTGGTGATGTTCTAGTTTGAAGAAACTACCAAGGGACATAAAACAGATAGAGATTTTTCAGTCAATAGTAGCACTGCTAGAAAAGTTTACCAACTCCTGGTATGAAATTCCAGAAGCTGCCCTTATTCAGTCTTTTATCTTGTGTTTCAATTCTTTCTAGAAAATGTTATTGAGTCATATTTTATAGCAGATAGAGCACTGAACTGGGCATCACTAGCCCTGAGACCATCTCTGCCATTAGTAACTGTGGCCAAATCTCTTCCCCTTAGTCTGAGCTTCAATACCTATTGAGTATAAACAGGTGGTAACCTGTTCTGCTTACCTTACTAGGTTGTTGAGGGCACAAATGAGATGATTTTTGCAATGAGACCTGTAAACTACAAAGCAGAGAAAAAGCAGTAGTATTCCCCATTTTCCAGGCAGTAGATCACTTCCCTTGGTGTAAAAGGTAAAAAGTTGAGTTAGACTCAGCACACTGCTGTTGGTCAATACCTAGTAAATACAAACTGTCTCTCACTCTTGCCAGGTTCTCCACTTATGTCCTGAACATTTTTTTATTTTGACAATCTCACAGTCTACTTCCTGACCTATTGCTGATCTCTTTGGCCCCTAACCTCTAAACATACTGCCTGTCTATAGTTTAAAATTCTCTTCACATAGTTGACATTTGATATTGCTCCTCTAGGACTGCTACCTTTGAAAAATGAGTGTGGCAGGAACTTTGGCTTTTCTGAGTACATATGTAACAAGGGTGGGCCTATAGACTCAAGACATAGGCCAGCCACACAGTCAAATGAGGAGCTGTTCTTCTGGTCAGATTCTGACCCACGCCCTTTTATTCTCCTTGCTCAGAATATGTTTTTAAAAGCATTTTTTATTAGCCAATGCTAAGTCGCAATGACACAATCCAAAAGCAAAGCATGGGGACAGTTCATACTGGGAAGTGTTATTAGCTTTCTCTAGCTGTATTATTTTTTATGTTTATGCTGAGGAAATTCTCATGAGATCAAATCACTGGGAAATGTTTCCAGAGCTCAAGCTACTCTTTTTTGTGAGATAACACTTAATGAGGAGAAACAGAATAGATACCCTGGGGCAAATATTTCACCGGCTATTGGGATTGTGTTCCCTTTACCTCTCCCAAACTTTTTTTCCAGAACCTTCTTTGTCTTTAAGGGTTTTACCCCATTTCTGTTGGAGTTCATACAAAGTGTCTTCAAGGGCCTGAGAGAAAATCTACAAGTCAGAGGTAACCAAGGCATGAGGATAAAATCACAATATTTCATAAGGAAATCTATCAAAAGGTAGAATGAAGGCTCAAGAAAATTTGCTCTGGATATCAGGTAATTTTGTTCTATAAGTCCTATTGACTAGTTTGTTTTCATGAGATAAAAGAGAAAGGCAGTGGAAGCCCTGGACAAGCAAATGCAGAAGCAACTATCAATGCTGACAAGTCTTCCCACATGTGGTCTCAGAGACTGCAAGCTCAACTGCACTTCTCCAAGGATCTCCTTACAATACCAGTCCTCCAGCTGTCAGCAGCTGTGTGCCTTCTAACTTCTCACAGCTAGCTTTTCAGATAGAAATGGCTTCTTTCTTCTCTAAGATAGTTTACCAGAAGACATTGTTTTGGATGTACAATATGTTAAAATGTATTAAAAATGCAGCTATTAAACTAAATGAATTGCAGTGTTGAATATTAAGGTGTGCTTTGCCCAGTGCATCACAAGTAAGAGGTACTCACTCAGTGAATGGCAGATTTTTCTTTCATTTCTTTTTCTCTTCTATTTTTTTCACGCTGAAATGAAGAACAGTTGGAAATACCGTAAAAGCATTTTTCCTGGGTGGCTCTAGACATTTCATCACATGTGCTCATTTGTGCTTGCCTAGTGTACACATGTGTGGGTGCCTGAGTTTGATGAGGAAATTACCTGAAGGCACAAATGCATCTGAAGGTATGTGTGTGAATACATAAAGCATGCCTTAGAATATTTTCCTAATGTCAATCACACATATTTTAAATTCAAAGTTCAAGACCCTGTAGGAAGAAGAAAGGGTTTTAAAGGACTTTTCCTCATGAAAATAGACTGGAAAGTTGAGTTTCAAGCTTTTATGAGGTAGGATGGGATGGTTCAAGATAATGACTGAATTGGAAGTAAGTAATGGAGCAAACAGTGATTCACCTTGTTTTCCATTTTCATTTAAATCAGAAGCTGTTGCTTTCATGTGTTCTTATTGACATACATTTTCATTATTGACTTCTTGTTACTTTGAAGCTTACATGCCCAGAGAAACCTCACAGCATAATCAAGGGAAGTTTGTTGTTGTTGTTTAAAATGTTTTAGATGCTATAAACTTTCAACCTGCTTGTTTTTGAAGGTTAAGTTCATGTGTATGCTAGGTTGTTTGTTCAGAGTGTAATGATTCTAACAGACAGTGGTGGGAAATTTTGAAATATGCACTTATATTTCTTCTTTCTACTTCCCCCTCCTCCATTTCCTTATCCTCCTGGAGAAGGAAACTTGTTGACAAGTTATGATTCATTTGTCCTTCTTTTCTCTGTTTTTTCTTCCTCCCTTCCTTTCTTTCTTCCTTCCTCCCTTCCGTCCTTCCTTTCTCCCTCCCTTTATCTCTCCTTTCCTCCCTCTCTCTCTTCTTTTCGCCCCTTTTTTTCTTCTCTTCCTTCCTGCCTTTTTCTCATTCTCCTTTTTTTATTTATTTCCAGAGCACTGGCTTCTGTCTTGTGACACAATCTCCCTTTTGCCAGATTATATAAATACCAGGCAGCTTGTTCACTGTCCTTTTGTGAAACACCTTCTTCCAAACAGTGTTTTCTCGCAGATTTAACTCTTCAGAAGTAGTTGAGCTCAGGGGCACTTACAAACCTAAGCATCACGAAAGAGAGACACAAAATATCCTGTTTGGCAGAATCACAGCTCACGCCCCTCCCCCTCAAATAAATAAATAGATAAATAGATAGATAGATAGATAGATAGATAGATAGATAGATAGATAGATAGATAAACAAATCTCACCAAAATCCTTTTCAAATCTGGAATTATTTTTATGCAACTGAAGTTCAGATTGTTGAGTTGTTCCTTCAAGCTTCCTTGATCTTCTCCCCTCTCAGAACTTTCTCTGTTGCCCACCTGTCTTCCTCACAGCAGAGAAACACAAAACAAAGCCAACTAAAAGAAGAAAATGGATAATGTAAAAAAGAATTTGAAAACCCAAGGGAAAACAATAAAGCATTTTGAAAATTAGGAGTCAGGTACGAAGCCCAGAAATAAAGTGGTTAATATTTTCCCCGCCTTGCAAATGCTTTGTCTTTCTGAGTCACTAGCTCAGGCTGTGAATTCTGTTATCCCTGGTAGAGCCCCAGTCTGGGTGGAGTACACCTACATTCCTTCATTGCCCTGGTGGGAAGGGGGAGTTACAGGGGACTCAGGAGAGGAGGAGGTAGGGCAGGCTTTGAGGATTGTCAGACACACAACCCTGCTCTGCACCACAGCTAGGAGTTCAGCCTGTTCGTTTTTTAAAGTTTACTCAAAGTCACAGAGTTGAAATGCCTGAATTCAATGTCACTTCTCTCACTACATGCTCAGCCAAATGTCTTTGGCTTTTCAATAGACCTAACCTCTTGGCACTATGGAGTCTTGATGTTTTGCATTCTCTTTTTTCAGATTTTTAACCCTCAACTTGCCCTTCTCCGACTTAAGCTTTATAAGTCACTCAAATACCTTACTTCCTAAAAAGAGATCCTTCCTTTTTATTTCCTTCCTTCTTTCTTCCTTTTTTCCTTCCTTCCTCCCTTCCTTCCTTCCTTCCTTCCTTCCTTCCTTCCTTCCTTCCTTCCTTCTTTCCTTCCTTCTTTCTTTCCTTCTTTTCTTCCTTTCTTCCTCCTTCTCTCTCCCATTATTTTTGCTTTCTTGCTTTCTTTTACATTTTTGGTAGGGAACAAGGAAAACAATGGAGGAGTACTTGGAAACTCTGCCTAGGGACATATTTCCAAAGAAGGTGGTTCAATGTGAGGAGACAGTATGGATGATGGCTTAGCCACTTTGCCCAGAGAACAGAATTCTCTTTTTCTACAGCTCTCCAACTCCTTTTTGCTATATTTGTTGAAGTAGCTTCGGAAAGCTACAAACTAATCTTTATCCCCCGGCTTGTCCCAGGTTTTGACACTGAACAGTCTTCAGATGCTGCCCTTGAGTAGCAAAATGGGTTTATTATCTCATTTTTGTCTTTAATATTGGGTTGTTCTTTTGCACCCTTATAAATGTACTTCTGGAGACCTCCTGGCCAGTGTTTACCATGGCCAAGTCCCTAAGTTTACTGACAGCTAGGGCAGGTGTTATTTTTTTTTAAGTTTAGATACTTTTCCTAGCTTTGCCTCCACTTTTTAACCATCCTAGGTTTCTTTCCCCTAGAAAGTCCAGTGGACATGCCAAAGTTCATAATCTTAGTAAAGAGCAGAGCAGCAGTAAACACTTACATATGCACCACATTTGCATGCACACAGAGGTAGTGTCTCACTGAAGACAGTGGATGTGGATCAATTATTGTAAATGAACCAGCAAGTGTGATTTTACACATATAACTATCTTTCACAAATCTGACAAGTTGTGAAATCATAGAATTGATCTAATAGTTTTCTTGGGGGAAGGTTGTTTATTTCTGTTTTTGTCATTATGAAGCCTGAGTTTACCTCTTAAACCTCAAGTCAATCTTTCTAGATTTTCATGTCTTTTCAGTAAGAAGCTCTTTCATGGAGTCTATCTACAACTAGTTTGTTACATTCCATTCTTTATGCATACTATCAATAGTTATTATTATTGTACTTATTAAGCACTTTTTATGTATCATGTTATGTTCTAAGGGCTTTATACACACTATCTTATTTAGTCTTCTAAATAATCCTATGAAGTGAGTATTATACTAATTAATTTTACATATATGGAAACTGAGGCCCAAATAGGTTATGTCACTTGTCTAATGTCTATGGCTATTCACCTGTGTCTTCAATTATCTTGTAAGAAGAAGAACATTTTCTTTCTTACCTTCTGTCTTCAACATAGCATATATTACCAGCTCTATACACAAGGGATACCATATTAATATTAGTGTATGTCCACTTCCCAAGAAGAAAATTTTAAACCAAAGAACAAGAGACATCAAGGCAGGTTATATTGTGATTCCTTCCAAATTTTCTCTTTTTAGAGGCCCACAGTCCCCTCCCTGAATGGTGGTGATTCTGCAAGAAGCTAATAGAGAACTTTGTTGTGCTGCAATTGGGGATTACAAACCCAAAGATATGAAAGTATACATACAGACATTCACCATCCTCTGTAAGCTAAAACTATTGCCTTTCTCATGACTCAAATTATGAACCTCTGGACTCTATGTGAGAAATAAGAAACTTGGTTGGTGTAGTATATCTGAGGGAGACATCAAGTCAAGCAAACCCTGGATGTTTACTTTATTCCAGAAACCAGCACACTGATTCCATGTTAAATAGCTTTTTACGCCTAGAAACACAGATATCACTGGCGTTCAGTCTATCTGTATCTGAAATTTCTCTTTCCATCCCCCACTTCATTGGTCAGAACGATATGATCAAAGAAAACACAGAGTCAAGCGAATCTTCAGAACTTCAGAGTTGAGTGGAGATCTTACTATTGTGGTCCCTATGTTGTGCCAGTTTACTGGAAGCTAATAGTGGATTCCTGAACTATGTCTCAGATTTCTGTCATAGGCTTCATTTCTAGCTCAGGCTCCAAAGAAGCCCCGTACATTGTTCTTCGGTCTCAGGTGAAAGCACTTGCTGCAAACCACAGTGGCTAATTAATTTAGTCTTACTCCAAATTAATAACTGGTTTCATCTATTATCAGAGTCTACTGAATGCCATGGTTAGATACTGACAACCAGAAAGAGCAGAGAAAAGAGAAAAGCCTTCTCTGGAAACACTCAGTTATTCCAGGAAAAGCTCTTCTAAGCAAATAGTCAATACATATAGTGCATTTTGTTGGAGCAAGAGTCAGAAGAAACAGAAAAAGATACAAGGTAGTCCTAACACATGGGAAGTTTCAAGACTAAGATGGTAGGATGAGCTGGTAGGAAAAACAGGATGCACCATAAAAAGACATTGACCACAAAAGAAACATGATTTTAAATAAATTAATTAAAAATAAATTAAAAAGCATAAGCTATCTGTCTCTTATCTATCTACTAAGAGATGAAATCAGACTATGACCCAAAGTATGGAGCCAGGGTGGCAGATGGATCAAGCAGCTTATTTCATCACCTTGGCATAGCTTTCTGGTCTCTTCGATTTTAATAACCCATATAATTTCAACAGGGAAGAAAATAAACAAAATGTTGCCCTTAAAGAGTTCAGACTATAATTTTACTGCTCTCTCTCAGTACAGTAAAAAAGGCTAATAAGGTCATGGTCCTACATTCTCTGACTTCACCTACTCATACTCCAATGTTTTTTTCTTATGTCCACATGGAATCTCTTTGCCATGTTTCCTTTCAAGGGTTATTTCCTCTGGGCCTCTGTGCTCCAGAAAGCTGATATTTGAGGTACAAAGTGAGCCAGACTTACTCAATGGTCAGTTCCCTTCTAATCCCAGTTTGGAGTCTTGTGCCTTCCCCATCCCTATTTCTGACTTGCTTTCCCCTCATCCAATCAATGGCACAGAGGGAGACATTTTGAGCAGATCTCAAAATAGAATCTCAAGGAAAAGATGCACTGACCTTGAAGAGAAGGCTACAAAAATAAGAAAATAAATTAAAACAGGAACTATGATTCAAACCCACTGAAAATTATATCAAAGGAAAGTCTGGAAAAGTTGAGCAAAGAGAACCCACAAGCTCTGAGATAGACAAGTAGAGAGGAACATATAAGTTCTTGCTCCAGAAATGCTGGTTGATTTTACTTGTACTAAAGCATGAAGAAAACTTTTTACAAGACCATACTGGAGCTTGAGAACACTGGTTACAAGCTCAAGCTCTGCCTGATTCCTAGCTGTGCCTCTCACAACTAGGCGATCCCAGGAAGCTGTTGAGCTGTGGGTTACTCTCTGTAAAGTAGGGATAATCACAGTTCCCTTATAGAAATATTTTGAGATTTAAATGAAATCATAACATTAGCATTTCGATGGCACTTATTCTGTGCCAGGCACTGTTAATTAATTAATTTGCCCAAGGTCACACAGCTAGAAAGCAGCAAAGTGGCGATTAGAACCCAGAAAGGCATGCTTCAGTCTGTGTTCTTATCTATCGTGCTTCTCAAAATAATGCTTACAAATCACTCAGCCCAGTGCCTGGCATGCAATAATAGTGTTGTAAATATCAGTTATCATTTTATTATCATTATTCATACACAGGGTATAAAAAATCTTTTTGTCAACAGAGATTAGAGGAGGAAAAAGCAGTTCTGGAATGCAATACCTGGAGCTCTGGATGCCAGAATAGTTTTTCTGGGAGAATTTAGAAAAGACTCACCAGAGATATGTTGCTTTTCCCTAGAGCTGTATCTAGCTCAGACAACTTTTCTTGGTTTAGTACCATCATCTCTTCTGTTTGCCAAGACTGACTTAGAGCTCCAAATCTCAATGGAGAATTATATATTATCCTCACTCTCTCGTTTTATAAACAAGTAAATTGAAGATTCAAGTTATAGTATTTTATTACAGAAGATTTATTAATTAGCAACAAAACTAATACCTGAACAAAAGTCTTTTGATGCTCAGTTAATGCTCTGTCTTAAATCTATAGCCAATACATACACCAGATTTCTAGATTTCACAATTTTTTGTCCATTGTCTGCATAAGTGCAGTTATGTTGGCCAAATAAGTGATTTAATTATAAATCTGAAAAATATGGTACAACAATGATTCATCAATGGAAGACAGTTACAGAGCTTCTCTCTCCATTTACTTCTAATAGCCTGTGGGTGAGGTAGATGGAAGATGGTGATGCTTAAATCAAAAGGTCTCTAATTACTTACCACAATCTTCTTGGTCTTCAATGGTCTTGAGATTTGGGGACCTGTTTGCCAAAGCTGACACCTAAAACCTCACATTAAATTAGGGTGTTTAAGTGCTCCAGAGAGGACATGAAACACTGAAATCAGGTAACTCCTTCCACTCCCCCAAGAAGATTCTTTGCTTTTAAGACTCCTTTTAAAAGCCAGCGAGTTTTCTCTGATCCTCCTTAATAAAGTGTCCCAGTAGCAGTGCTCCTCTTCCTTACTTGAAATCTGTGCAGTCTCATTAAATTTGATGTGTCGCAGGGGGCTTGGATATGTGAAAGGGAGGCT